GGGAGTAACAGTGTCGGTACATCTTGGCTCCTCCATTGCAGGGGCGCTACCATCGTTCAACCGGCCCCTGTGCCCATCCCGACCCAGACCTCCGCCATCACAGCACCCAAATTTGAGATGTACCCCTCGAATCCCGAAGGGCACGGCCTATACCCCCATACAGGGGGGTAGATCGGCCAGTGCGGCCCAGGCCACGCCCGTAGGGATAGGGTTTGGTTGAAAGGTTCCGTAGGTACGTGCCGTGTCGACGCGGCGTCGACCTTGCCGCAGGCGTTCCAAGTTGGGCGCCGCCAGTGGCCCAGATTCAGCCGAGAAAGGATGAGATGGAGATCGAAAAGTTGCCGATCGGTCTGTTTATCTCATCGTACTTGAGGACCACGTCCCAGGAATAATTCTGAGCACCCCGAGAAGTACCGAAACGGTGTCTGCCCGACGCGCTCGGCGAGGTGCCGGACGAGTAACGCCTCCCAGGGCCCGACACGTGGAATTCGTCCAGTGCCGATATGTTTTTGGTGTTCGAAGATCTCTGTGGCGATCAAGGCGAAAGTAGGTTGGAACATCAGAAGCCGATCGTTGAAGGTTGAACGATCCACGCAGTGTCAAAAGCCAACGCCAGTCTCGTCACGACACCAACCTGCCGTACCGATACCGCTACCCTTCCTTCGTTGCCATCGCTGCATGGCTTCGCTACCAACTCCTGATCAGGGCACGCCCGTGGAGAGGTGTGGTGAGCAATGGTATCGGTATACCCGTTTGCTGTTTGTGCCCCCAGGCCTTCTCCACCTGCTACCCCCTGGATTTCCAGGCGAGGCTGCAGAGGAAGCTGCTCCGGGAGCTTCGTCTGGGCGCGCGTGTCTGCGCCTCAGATGATGCTGAAAACGCCGGGGGGGGGGCATTTTCTGTGGTAGTCTGCTGGATCGACGTGGTTTCAGATTGGGGATCTCGGTGTTTGTCCGTCTCGGGATTCTCGTTCGCGCCGGTTTCGCCGGTTCGGCTCCATGTCGTGCTGCAGATGTTCCTGTATGTTTGGGGGTTGCAGTCTGTTTATTGTTTCTGTTCTTTGTGGTTGACACATAACAAGCAATTATTACTACAACAAAACATGTTGTTGTTCCATTTGGGTGGGCCGAAGACGGCGAATTGCAAACGAAAACAACAACAAATTATCCTGGCGAAAGACCCAACCATACGCAAGTGTGAGAACCGCAAGGCAGGTGGGACGAAGCAAGGGAACTTTCCTGTGGGGCCACGAAACGTGTGAGGGGTGCGCCAAATTGGCGCGGGGCCGCCATGCGAACCCTGCCACTGGGGCCTTCGGTGCAGCTCCCTATGGGGCCACGAACCGTGTGAGGGGTGCGCCAAAATGGCGCGGGGCCGCCATGCGAACCCTGCCACTGGGGCCTTCGGTGGAGCTCCCTATGGGGCCACGAACCGTGTGAGGGGTGCGCCAAAATGGCGCGGGGCCGCCATGCGAACCCTGCCTCTGGGTCCTTCCGTGGAGCCCTCTATGGGGCCACGAACCGTGTGAGGGGTGCGCCAAGATGAAGCGGGGCCACCATGCGAACCCTGCCATTGGGGCCTTCGGTGGAGCCCTCTATGAGGCCACGAACCGTGTGAGGGGTGCGCCAAAATGGGGCGGGGCCGCCATGCGAACCCTGCCACTGCGGCCTTCGATGACTCCCTATGGGGCCACGAACCGTGTGAGGGGTGCGCCAAAATGGCGCGGGGCCGCCATGCGAACCCTTCCACTGGGGCCTTCGGTGGAGCTCCCTATGGGGCCACGAACCGTGTGAGGGGTGCGCCGAAACGCGGGGCTGCCATGCGAACCCTGCCACTGGGGCCTTCGGTGCAGCTCCCTATGGGGCCACGAATGGGGCCACGAACCGTGTGAGGGGTGCGCCAAAAGCGGGGCCGCCATGCGAACCCTGCCACTGGGGCCTTCGGTGGAGCTCCCTATGGGGCCACGAACCGTGTGAGGGGTGCGCCAAAATGGCGCGGGGCCGCCATGCGAACCCTGCCTCTGGGTCCTTCCGTGGAGCCCTCTATGGGGCCACTCAACGCTGTACTGGGTGGGTGAAACGCAGGGAGGAGGGAGGAAGAAGAAGAGGAGGAGGAGGAGGAGGAGTAGGAGGAGGAGGAGGAGGAGGAGGAGGAGGAGGGAGGAGGAGGAGGAGGAGGAGGAGGAGGAGGAGGAGGAGGAGGAGTAGGAGGAGGGGGAGGAGGGAAGGAGGAACGCGGGGCACCGTCTCTTCAAAACGAGGACCCAACACCACAGGATGGTTGGGAAAAACAAACCATCACAAACAACATGCACAACAAGCAACAGAGATGAAACAACAACTCCTAGGCGTTTGCAGCAGCAGTCAAGGTTTACGCGCCCCAGCACAAGGGCTGGGACGAGGGGCTTGTGCTCGGCGGGCGGAGCCTGGCCCCCATCCCCTACGACTTCGGCCACGCCTTCCGGGTGGAGGCCGTGGGCACCGCGCCGGGGGAGCTGTGAGCGGCGGCCGCCTGCGACTCCCACCAGACCACCCCCGCCCAACCCGAAGGCCTCCATGTGCTCTCCACCTCCAGTGGGCGGGGGGGGGGCGGGGACCACTAAAAAAACATCTGGAACCCGTCCCCCCCCCCCAAAAGGAAAAACACACATTAGGGCTTTCGGGTTGGGTTGGGGTTTTCTGATTGGCATCGGCCACGCACATCGGGGGGTATAGCGGGTGGGGGGGGCTTCTTAGGAACACCTTTTGCTTCTTGGAAGTCGGGGGTTTTGTCTATACATGTAAGGCTGGCGCCTCCTAGGAAGCAGCCCCCTTCTAAGACGCCGTCCCCCTTCCCCCGACCCTTACGTCGGGCATGCTCCTCTACAGGAGGAACATTCAAACCCAGTTAGAATCAGTTTCTGTTTGAATCTGTTTCGTAGATGTGGTATATTTTCCGTCCAGAATCCGCCTGTAGGAGGACATGCCCGACCTGAGCCTTCCCCCCCTCTGCGCGCCGCCAAAGGTAGTCACCCTCCGAGGAGGCTGCCCTGTTGGTGTGCCCTCCCGTCGCGGGCGGCGCCGAAGGCCCCGAAGCCTCGCTCTCGCGGCCGCCACCGGCGAGGCGGCTGCCGCCCCGGGGGTGGCGAGCCTCCCCGCCCAAGCGCTCGGGGGGGGGGGGGCGGCAGCCGGGGGCGGGCGCGGCTCCTCGTGGAAGGGGGGAGGGGGGCCTTCGCCTCCTCCGCCTCCTCCTCCTCCTCGTCCTCCTCCTCCTCCTCCTCCTCCTCGTCCTCCTCCTACTCTCCTGCTCCTCCTCTTCCCAGGGCCCAGGGGGGCTCCTCCTCCTCTTCCTCCTCTTCCTCCTCCTCCGCCTCCTCCTCCTCCTCTTCCTCCTCCTCCTCCCTCCTCCTGCTCCTCCTCCTCCTCCTCCTCCTCCTCCTCCTCCTCCTCCTCCTCCTCCTCCTCCTCCTCTTCCTCCGCCTCCTCCTCCCCCTCCCGCGGGGAGAGCGCCCCGCTCCGATCGGTGAGGGCCCCGCTCCCCTCGGGGCGGGACGCCGTGGGCGCGCAGCTCCTCTGGCAGAGGGCCCCCCTGCGGGGGAGGCCGCGCGGCGCCGGGGGCGGCGCGCGGCGCCGAGGCGCGCGGACAGGCCCGCGGCTGCGGCCGACGACGGGCGCGGTGCCCTGGCGAAGGGCGGGCCGCGGCGAGCTGCGCGAGGGGGGCCCGCCGCCCGCGTGACGTAGCCTGCGCGGGGGCCGCCTCGGGCCGCAGGCGCACCGAGCTCTGCGAGGTTCGGGGCCCCGTCGGTCGCCGCCGGACGGCGCCCAGGCAGCGGGCCTCGCCCTCGCTGCTGCTCAGGGGAGGAAAAGGTGGCCGCCCTAAGGTGGCCATACCACTATCTTTCCCTCGTTTTCCCCTTTTGGGGCCTCCTTGGCGGCCCTCGTCGCCGCCGCTGGAGTCGCTTCGAAATCCTGGTCAGAACGCACCCCAGGTCAGGTCAGGGTAGTAGCGGTATCGGTACTGTTTGGTTTCCCCAGCTGCGTCGGAGGCTGCGGGGCACAAGCGGCGCAGGGCGCAGGGAAAGGGCGTCGGCTCAGACGGGGCCAGGACGAGGATTAGCGCTAAAGGTCTTTAGTTTTGGTCCCCCCCTCCGAGTCTCTCGGCGGTGAGTATGACTGGTCCGAAAACTTCCTGCTCCTCGTCTTCCTCCTCCTCCTTCCCGCCTCCTCCTCCTTCCCGACTCCCCCTCCCTCTTCTCCTCCTTCTCCTCCTCCTCCTTCTCCTCGTTATCCTCCTACTCGTGCCGCGGAAAACATTAGTCACTCCCTGTTGGTGGGACCGCAGTCCTGAGTAAGCGATAAGGTCTCCGAGCAAGTAATGAGTTACCCCCTGTTGGGGGGTCTGAAAACATTTTGGGGTTAACTCCATTCCGGAACGCTCGCTCTGAGAGGGCCGCGGCGCCCGAGACATCTTGCAGACCCGCCGGATCCTCCCCTGATGTTGTCCTCGTCTTGGCTCCGCCCTAGTGCTACTTCTGCGCTGGCACCAACGCGCAGCCTGCCCGTCGCAAGGTCGTGCGTGGGCGCGCTCTCTGTGTGCCGTGCGGTGTGGATGTGCCGGGACGACGGCCTGCGTAAGCCGCCGCGTGGGGTCGCCACGTTCTCTCGCGTACGTTCTTTTTGTCCCGTCGCCCGCCCACTTGGCAGAAGCGCACGGGGATGCTGGCGCGAGTGGGGTGGCCTTGTGCGAAGGCGCGGCTCTTCTTGGGAGCCATTGCGCCTTCTACGAAGCCTTCTTGGAATCATAGTGTGTTTGTTATTGTATCATCTGGCGCGCGGTTTTGTCACCCGCCCCCCCTGGTCTAACGGTCACGTTCGTACGTGGGGGGTCGGGTAATAATCGTTACGCACCGCCCCACGCGCGCATATTTGCGATCGCAGCGCACTTCTGCCCCCACGTGCCCCACCCCGTCAAAGTGGTAACCCGTAGGGTCCCACGTGAGCATATCCCAAAGCAGTCCAGAAGTGCACATCATCGTGGTCTTTGCCATGGTGGAGGTTTTCCCTGTCTCCTCATAGTTCTCCTTGCCGCCCTGGCGGGGACCCTTCTCCTCCTCCCCCTCCCCGCGAGCCCAAGGGTGACGACGGTTACAGGATCTGGATGGCCCGCTCGGGTTCGAACGTGGAGGCGGGGGACCCCGTAGGGAGAGGGCCCCCGCTCGAGACCCCCTCGCGCGGTTCATTCTCAGACGTGGCTCCCGCTCGAGGCTTCCTCCAGAGTGGTGACATTGACAGGATGTGGTGGTGACACAGACAGGATTTGGGTGCTCGGGTTCGAACATGGGGGTTGGGATCCCATACGGAATGGCCCCCGCTCGATATTCTCCCGCGATTCACTCGCAAACGCAGCTCCCGCTCAAGACTTCCTGCACATTCACTCCAAAAGAGACGACAGCTGCATGGTTTGGATGACCCGCTCGGATTCGAACATGGAGGCGGGGACCCCAGCCGATAGGGTGAATGACCAAACAGCATGACCGAAAACGTATTTACGACCGAACACGTCGTGTGACCGAAGTTCTGACCGAAATTGAAAAACTGCTTTTGTCTCGAACGAAGAATTTCGGACACGCTTCCTGGCACGTTCGGAAAACAATAACAAACATCTGACCGTTCCACGGTCACACTCGGGCAGCTGTTCGGACGCACTGTCGAACGGGGCTAGGACGGGAATAAATCCGTTCCAGAGCGTTCCGGGACGCTCTCAGAGCGTCCTGGAATTGTCCGAGAGGGCCGCGGCGCCCGGGGCATTTTCCAGAGCCGCCGGATCTTAGAGATTCCCGATTTATTTTCCCCCGATCTGATCCCCGCCTTGGTTTCGCCTTGCTGCCTGGGAATTTCTTGGAGCGCATCCTGCGCCAATCGTATCATGCCATCGTCTTCGTCCTGCTCTCTTCCTCCCCCGCCTGCGGTTTCAAATCAGGGGAGCCTTGTGTATCCTCGTAATTCCGTCTACAGCGTCGACTAGCGGCTATTAGCGTCTGGGAGTCGATGAGGTAGTGCCGATTCAGCGTCGGCTAGCGTCGATCAGCGTCGATTCAGCGTTGATTAGCGTCGACTAGCGTCGATTAGGGTCGTTTCGCAAGGGTCAACAATATGGTATGGGAGGATCCCCTGATTTGCCACCTAACCCGCCGCGCCCGCCGCCGCGCATTCTGCGCCTATCGTATTCCGCTATCGCCGTCGTCCTGCTCTCTTCGAAGAAGAACAGAAATGCCACAAGCACAAATTTCTGGCGCAGCGCAACGAGTTTTTGTCTATGGTCTTATTTCTTGTCCTATCTCCTCCTCCCCCGCCGCGCCCCAGGACGTCCCGTCGCTCCGAGACGCCCTATACGCGCCCTACCCGGACGTGCCCCGGGCCGGGTGCCTGCTGGGCCTGATAGCTCCCGGGACGCCCGCCGCCTGCTGGCCTGCCGGGGGGAGGAGGAGATCCCGATGCCGCTGCTTTTACGCATCGGTCGTTGAAAGTAGGTACTTGTGGATTCCCAGGTTCCAATATGCTTTAAGCTCCTCCCTACTTCAACGATCGAGTGGCTTCAGTAGGCAGACGAAACCCAATCTTTTTTTCAACGCGTTCCTATTACATTTTTCCACCGACTTCTTCCGACCGATGGGTACCCTGATCATTGGATATTGGGATTTGGCAGTCGCGACCGACCAGATCGGTCGCTGCCGATGTTGCGTCAATTGTCGGTATCGGTCGCGACCGATGTGCTTCAACATTGGTCGCGACCGAGCGGTCGCGACTGGTCGGTCGCCATCGATGGCTACCGGTCAAGGCCGATTTGGGGATCGGTCGCGATCGATCGCGACCGATTTGGAGTGTCGATCGGTCGTTACCGATCGCGACCGAAAAACATCGGTATCCAATGATATTGTAGTGGCTTTCGGCCAGTGCCGCCGATCCGGGTCGCTCGGTGTTATTCTCCAGACGCAGACATTATGGTCGCACATTCAAACGCACAAACTTCTCGGGTTACCTTCGAAAGGGCGTAGGAATGCAGTTGGGTCAATAGAGCCATCTCGCAACAGTGGTTCTATCAACGGCGGGGTGCTTGCAGTGACCGTGGGGACGGGAAATAATAATGACATGAAAATTCCATACAGGATGCCGATCACTTTGGAAACTCACGATACGTCGTGCACGGAGTCGTGTTACGAAACATGTGGCCTGGACGATGTGGTGCGAGCGGTGGAGGCGAGCCAATCGGCGCAAGGACGCCCTCTTGGGGCGTTTTTTGAGCCATCTTAGGAGCCTGTCAGGGCGTCGTGGGGGCTTCTTGGGGGCTTTCGGAGGCCCTCTTGGAGGCTCTTGGGGCCTCCTGGGGGCCTCGTGGGCTGGAAGGCTAGATTTTTTCCGCTTTTCGTCCCTCTTTTGGGTCCTCTTGGGGCCGTCTTGGGGGCCTGTTGGGCCGTCTTGGGCGGCTCTTGGGCGGCCTTGGGGCCCTCTTGGGCCGTCTTGG